ACCAACAAAACAGACAGAAATCCAATAGCAATTTCAATAGCTCTTGTTTGATTCCATTTGGCTCAAACTCTCTTGATTGATTTTCTTAGTAAAATTATAAGTCAAGTCTGGTCCCTAGTTTTTACATTTTAAAGTTCTCTAAACTAATAGGATTATGTCCATTTAATTCATATACTTTGAAAAATGCTAGTGACCATGAACTTTCAACTTATGTCTAATAGGTCTTTGTTATCTATCACATTTGTTTAACAATCAGGCCAGAAATTGCCTGAAATTAGCTCCCTCGATATTCTTAGAGACTTCTTTGACACAAAACTAAAAGTTCAAGGACCTATTAAAAATGTTAAAGTATATTGATGAGATGGACACAACTTTAAAAGTTCATTAACCTATTAGAATTTTTTTAGTACAAGAACTAAATAAACATAAATTTAGTTTTAACCTACTATCTCTGTTTAAGCGGAGAATTCTTTTGATTGATATGGATTAATTTTATCATGCAGTAGTTTTGTTATTTGCACTTGGTGCATAGAGATTTCATTATTTAGTTTACATTCTCAAGGAATGAATATTGAATATTATTAGACATAAACATATCATATATTCTCATAATCAAATGTACACCTTTTCTTGTCGTCTATAAAACAGATCGAAGGAGCATTTATACAAGGATTGGGTTGGGTAGCTCTCGAAGAGTTGAAGTGGGGAGATCCATCTCATAGGTGGATTGCCCCGGGTACTCTATATACGTCCGGACCCGGAAGTTACAAAATTCCATCTATTAATGATGTCCCTTTCAAGTTTAATGTTTATCTCCTGAAGGTATACTAATTTCCACTCTTCCATTGTTTGTTAAATTGTATTGTTCTTCATTATAATTAAATGCAAAATAATGTTTAACTAGAATATCAATCCTTATTCTGAACCAGAAAACCACAGTAAAAACACACCATAAATTTTTTCCTTTCTTTTTTTTTTCTTTTGAGTTCAACAACATGCGAGGGTGGGGATTCAAATCTCCGATCTTTTGGTTGAGGATATGTGCTTTAACCAATTGAGCTTTGAAACACACYGTACACCATAACTTAAGGGAATTGTATTCAATCAACCATATTTTGATGTAGTAGGAAGCGTTTATTGTTCATTTTGTGTTCTGTTTAGATGTATTTGTTACTTGGTTGTTTCTATATAGTTACAAAAGCTGTTGTCAGGTTGATTAACAGTGAATTATTTCCAAACTTTTAACTGCCTACTGAGTGGTTAGTCATAACTATTAATTACTCAGGTTTCTAGGGTTATTGACAAGCTTGCATGTTGAATAACCTTTTCAAACTGGAAATTACATTGTCCTAAAGATGTCTTTTGCATTCTTTAAACTTATAGGCACAAATCCCTTGGGGTACAAAACCTTTGATGCATAAAGGGTAAAAAAAAAAAATTGACTTCCAAATATGATCAGAAATCTGTCAAAGAGAAGCCACCTCTAGAGGCAGAAGTAAAAGATGATTAGGATCCTCTCATTAGCTTGGCACATGCAACACAATTTCAGGCGAAGGGCGATGTTAGAGTGTTCCTCTTCTAGATCCTGTCATAGCAAATAAAGATACCAAAACTTGGGAACCTTGGAGCTCCATTACTCTTTACAAAAGCTTGAATTGAGAACAGGAACATTTTTCACCAAGAAGTCAAATAGGCATTTTACGGTCTACAGGCCATTTGAATTGAGTCTTTGAGTTCTACAGTCACTTTTATGAGCCAGCCAAAGCCAGAAAGGTCATTCATCAATTTGCCCCAATCGGGTTAGCTATCGATCGAGTAGGATCCTTACGACGTCTACCATTCAATGCACATTTTTCATCATTCTATGCCACTTTACTGATATGCTCTTATGACTTATCCACATACACAAGGCAAAGTGCAGGGAATATTTTATCAAGAGGGGCACCTCTCCRTTCAACGATCCGACTAAAATGGCTCTCTAGCGCCTTTTTTTTATCTTTATTTTTTATTGTTGGCTCAATAAGTTTTTGTTAAGGACAACGGTACCCCTCGTACCCCAAGTATCTCCATAATGGTATGATATTGTCCGTTTTGGGCATAGCCCGCACGACTTTACTTTTGGTTTCACCCAAAAGGCCTCGTACCAATGGAGATAATTGTCCTCTCTTATATACCCATGATCATTCCCTTCCCTAGCCAACGTAGGACTTTGTTTGCAATCACCTTACAAACCCAACAATCCTCCCCTCAAACAAAGTACCACCCGAGCCTTCCCTCAAGTAGTCACTCATCCGTCTACTCTCGGACCTGATCGAGAGCTTGCTCTTATCCAAGTCTCCAGACATACCTTGATAGAACACACCCACGGATTACACCATGACCACACCTTCCACAAGGCTTACCACTTMTTTGTTCGGCACTCGTGGATTCACCGACACAGCTAGGTTTAGACCATGGCTCTGATACCACTTGTTAAGGACAACGATACCCCTCGTACCCCGAGTATCTCTAYAGTGGTATGATATTGTCCGCTTTGGCATAGCCCGCACGACTTTGCTTTTGGTTTCACCCAAAAGGCCTCATACCAATGAAGATAATTATCCTCTCTTATATACCCATGATCATTCCTTTCCCTAGCCAATGTGGGACTTTGTTTGCAATCACCTTACAAACCCAACAGTTTTCTAGTTTTGGGATGCTAAACTAAAGGCTCCTATATTGATGCAGGAACATTTAACAAGGAGCTAACAATTGGGTATATCAGAAATATTATTAGGATATTAGTAGCGTAATTATGATAATTAGTTATAAATTTATAATTAGTCAGAGGCGCATTGGTCATTAGTAGAGGAAGTTAGGGAAAGGAGAAAGGGAAAGGAGAAGGCAAACATAGTTTTTAGGGAAAGGAGAAGGCAAACATAGTTTTGGGGAAAAGTCTAGGWTGTTGAGGGAGAGATAGCCCTCTTAAAAGGCTATTGATATTGTAATGTCTCTTTTGATATTGCAATATGGTTATATTATCATTTTCTTGGAATCGAATCCTAACAACACCATTACTTTTTATCTCCAGCTTCCGGAGTGAATCACCCCGATTGATAAACTGCCAAAGCCAGTTCATGAGAAGCAATATTGTCACTTTAGTATTCCCTAAACCAAGGCTACCCTGAATTTTAGACAAGATTTTGCCAATCTGAATATATTTCAAGTAGTCRGTCGATTCAAATCACCTCTATTTCAAGTAGTCGGTCGACTCAAATCACCTCGTCCATATGTAATAGTTTCAGAAAGGAAAAAAATCAGTTTGACATTTTGCATATGTGAGGCTTTCCTGAGTACGACATTTGGCCTTAAAAGTTGGTTTTTTACAAAATATAATTGCTTTTGTTGTATGTTAAGGTCATTTTAGTGAAGGTTTCCCATATTGCATTAGGATTTCAGTTTGTTTAGAATCACATTAGATTATATGCATGTCCACCTAATTTCTTTATCATTGACAGGGTCACCCAAACGTGAAGGCCCTCCATTCATCAAAAGCAGTGGGAGAACCTCCATTCTTTTTGGCCTCTGCTGTCCTTTTCGCAATCAAGGATGCCATAATCGCCGCAAGGAAAGACGCAGGGCACGATGATTGGTTTCCTCTCGATAATCCTGCAACACCAGAGCGAATCCGAATGGCGTGTTTAGATGAGTTCACTAATCCATTTGCCAGTCCAAATTTCCGTCCCAAACTTAGCATATGATGTAGTTGTATTGTATGCTTCTTTATCGCTCATATTTGCAGATACGTTATGAAATAATCACTGTCATGCCATTCTCTTGGTCCATCTTCTGCAACCTTCCCTGAGTTGTGTGTGTGTATATTCATGCCAAAACTTTGCAATAAAAGTGGGTTATAGCTTAGAAGCCAAATACATCATCGTTTTTATCATTTCAAATTGGAGGACATAAATGTCAAGTTTCCTTGGTGTTCATATCTTAATATATGGTTCTTTCTTATTGCGTTCTGAAGAAACCAATGCATATTGGCTTGAGATTTAGCTTGTATAGTTATTCATTAGCTTCACTTTGTTATGTTTTGTAGTTTAATATATATTTTGGTCCTCCTAAATTGCGAGAGCGCTGATAAATATTCGAACCTACTACTTTTTTAAAGAGCAGTAGAAATGTCTTAACCACTAAATTTAGTGGTGTATAAATGGTTGATATACATGGACAGTTTATTCACTTTCGTAATCTTTTTTGGTGGTTCATGTTAAGGACAACGGTACCTTCGTACTCTTAAGTACCTCCATAATAGTATGATATTTGTCTGTTTTGAGTATAACGATTTTTTTTTCACCCAAAAGAACTAAAGATAATATTCTATATCATGRATCATTCTCTCCTTAGTTAATGTGGAACTTTGTTTATGCTTATTACAAATTAGTTCACAATTTATCAATCATAGCCTTTAGGTGGGTATGMTTCGGTCTTCTAATTAAAAGAACAAAAAATTGATTTACAAAAATCAAGTTAAGGAATCATTTGTTTGTGTATTGAGAAGATAATAACACCCTACGATGTTATTACCATATTTTATTTCATAAAATTCAATTTATTTATTATGAAAACTATTCYTATTTTGAAATATTTAATCAAATTTAATATTTATTTTAAAAGAATTAATAAATTTTACCAATAAAGTATTGTTACAACATTACCTAATACATCCAGTTGTTAATTCAACTAATAATTTTGTTTAGTTCAATAACCTCTAATTTTTTAGTCCATCATGTATGCATTAATCAATTAAGTAATGGAATTTATGTGTTATGTTTAGGTTGGAGTGGACCTTTTTAGATATATAATTTAAGTCAAGTTTCTTTAGAACTATTCTCCGATATTTAAAACTAAATTGTCGATTTTGAAACCTAAAAAAAACTAACCGAAAATCAAAACTTGGAATTAAAAATCTATTTTATCCGGACATAAATACATACACAAAAGAATACCATCTCTACTCGGCGTTTTCGCACCGTCTGAAGGCAAGAACAAGGAGTGGGCACGCACAAATCTTTCCTCAAAGGAAATTGTAATAATTTCACTTTCAAAGAGAGAAAAACAAGAAGATTGGAGAGAGGAGAAGAAAAATGGGTTCGAATCGGCCATTTTTGCCTTTTTCTCGAAACCCAAAAGGCTCTGAGGATTGAAAGTGCGCCGTCCTGTCGTTTGCTCCACGGCGAAGGGCATTTCGTGGAAAYCCACCTCTCTATTTGACCAGAAATCGGTCGAATTCAACTGGGTTTTCTCTGCTGAAGCTCATTGCCGAAATTCTCTTTCCTTCTCAGATTGAGATCTCGACTCGACCCATTGGAAGGGGCTTCTTCTTCCATTTCCGAGGTGAGCTTTTCTTTCTTTTGCTCTTCTTTCATTTGGGTTTCGGTCAATTTTGCTTTCCGCATCTTTGGGGTTACTGTATTTGCACTATCTGTTGGATTTCTGTGTATTTGTTGTGGATGATAGTTATTGACAAATGCACCGAATGAAAATTCAAATTAGCTGCTCTAGCTGTGCCTGTGGAAAGTAACCGAGTTGTGTATTTCATCTTTGTCTCCGAACTCGGAGAAGAAATCAAGATTATAGGGACGGGTTTAAAGAAGCATACGATTTGCTCCCAATTTTTTTGATGGATCATTACTTGTAAATCAATGGAACTCGGTTTCCTTTTTGCAAACCTTTAGCTTGAGTGTATTTGGTTTTGAGCTTAGTGATGGATCATTCCTTGTAATATTCGTGTTGCTTTTTCACATTGAAGGGGTGGTTTTGATTGTTTCGGCTCCTTTTATTAAGATATTTGACATAATGTTCTAATTTTTGGAGATTGGTTCTTTATTTGGCTGTTTAGTGTTTTTTCCCTCCCTTTCGGAGTTCATTTCTTCCTTTTCATCCATCAATTTCTTTTTTCAAAGAAAATGAAACATCTTTTGTTTTTCCTCTTCCTACTTTAGTTTTTGTTCCCACAATTTGATCTGTTCTGAATGCCAAAACCCCTCTTTTTGGTTGAAGTAGAACTAAACCCAAATCCTTGAATTGATAGGATATGGTATCAATCTTTTATATATTTTCTTAACATTTTGAAATTAGCACACCCAACAAGTAATTATCTATAGTGATCGAAGAGAAAAGGATATTATTGGGTGTTTGAACACTCTGATGCGATGGTAAACTACATTAAATTTCTAAATTTAAGAATTTAAACTAATAAATATTTTAKACATATTTTTACCATCTTAGATTTCAAAAATATTGTCATAAGCTATTGTGGAGGTTTCTCTTGCTGTTGTCAAAAGAATAGAAGAACCTTCTTGTACCRTCTTATGATTTGAATTTGTCTGGAACAATTGCTCATTTGTGTTCAATTCATCCCCTAAAATTAAAATCCCTCTAGCTTTACTTGAATGGTTTAATTGTGCAAAGTGGTAAAAGAACTGCAAGAATAATTGTTCTTTTCATGTATCTAGGTTAAATTGATTTTCAGAAATCAGAAGCAAAAGCCTCCAGAAAATGTGATAGGTTGATGGTAGACTACRGTTTTAGATATGATTTGTATTTTTTCTTTGTGAATGAACTATTAATGAATTTTGAGGAACTTTTGGGTTGGTCAGGACTCGGGATATATTGGCTTGGTAAAATAATCTTTTACTGTTTGTTATCTGATTGGACGTATGTATCTGCAATGCTCTAGTTCTTTAGACCCCATCTGATAACAATTCTAACTTTAGTTTTCTGTTGTTTCTTCCTAATTTCTTTGGAATGTTTTTCACYTTCTTATAAATACATTTGAATTCTTGGGCAAATTTCGAAAACAAAAATAAGTTTTTGTTTTTAATTTCAAAATTTAGCTTAAATTTTGAATACGTTTTGAAAAAGTAGATAACAAAATAAAGAAACACATGTGACCAAAGGATCTATTCTATAGGTTGTACTCTTGTGTTCTTGAGTTTTAAGAAAACAAAGAAATACAAGTGTTTGTAAGCTTAATTTTTTAAAATAAAAGGCCGAAGATTAAWCGATTATCAAATGGGATCTTAATTTTTGCAAGATAGTTGTTGTCTTAGATGATGGATAATGTTTTCTGTCTGTKTTRTGTTTACTCTCTCATCCTGATTGTGTCTTCAGGTAACATATCCATCATCTTCGTTAACTTTTTTTGCCTTTTCAATTCCTTTCTTCCCAAATTAGTAGGTGAGTGGTTAATTTAGGTTCTCTCTTCATATGCAGGCCACTTAACTGTGCCATAAGCGGGTGAAGGATTGAAGAAATAGTGTGATGGTTAAAGCATACTCTCAGGAATACACTTACAAGCACCCGTGGGAACGGGTAACTTCTGCATCTTGGCGTAAATTTGCCGATCCTGAAAACAAGCGTACATTGTCTCATATTCTTGAAGTCGACACATTAAACCGAAAGGTCGACCCTGAATCTGGGAAGTTATATACAACCCGTGCCATTACCATCCATGCCCCTGGACCATGGTTTGTTCGTAAAATTGTTGGTCAGGATATCTGCCACTGCATTGAGTCTTCGATGGTAGACGCACAGTCGCAATCCATGCAACTCTCCACTCGGAATATCAGTCTCCAGAGGTTCATAGAAGTAGTGGAGAAGATCAGGTATGATCCTCACCCAGATAATCCGAATGGATGGACAATTTGCAGACAGGAGACGAGTATTCGAATCAAGCCATTGTCAGCTCTGGCATCAATGGCCGAAAAAGTGGAGCAACGGTGTGCGGAGAAGTTCGTGCAAAACAGTGCCAAGGGTAGAGAAGTGATGGAGAGGATCTGTAAGTATCTTGAAGCTGAATCAAGTGGAATCACAATCTAACTTTCACATCCTCTTGTCGCTTACATACCGGTTTGAGGAGATCGGTGAGACTGTGAGCTGTTTTCATAGCTGTTTTTAACAAAATAATACTCATGGAGAAACATTGGAGCACCATGTCAGGATTCTCCCCAAATTTTGACAAGCTGAGGTTTAAATTTAGAGCATCATATTCCATGCAGTTTCCTGTCATCTTTCTTTTTGGTTGATTGTTTGTAGTTTGATTGAAGGCAAAGTAGGCTTGATTCTGTAAGAACTTCTCAGAAACATGCTTACAGAGTATATTATTYTTCTGCTACATTCTCTCTTTTAGCATTTGCTATTCTGCTGATCTGATGCTGATAGTGATGGCTGCATTTGTTAAAATAAATGTGGTTTTATACTGAATTCTATTGTTGTCTATTTTCATAATATGTTCCCTCYTAGGTGTTGTATAAACATCTATAGATATTACAAAATTTTAGGTGGTGTTTGAAAATGACGGTGAAAGAAACAATTTTTTTTTTTTTTGGGATGTTGAAGATTCTTTTGGGTGATGAAAATAAAAAACCAGTGGGTCTTTCTAGGTTTTTTTTTAAATTTTTTTTAAATATGGTAAAAAGAATTTTTGATCCTGAGGTTTGAGGTAGGTGTCTACTTTGTCTCTGAAGTTTCAAAAAGAACACTTTTGGTTTCTGAGGTTTGAGGTAGGTGTCTAATTGGTCCCTGAAGTTTCAAAATGAACACTTTTGTCCTTGAGATTTAAGATAGGTGTTAACTTGGTCCCTTGAAATTTTGAAATGAACACTTTTTTGTACCTGAAATTTGAGAAGTGGTTCTAAGGTTCATATTTTTTCTTTTTACTGTTAATTAACTAATATTAAAATAACGTGACAAATTGTAATTAAATTGTTTAGTGTAGTTGTTGATGTGGCAAATTATATAAATTAAATGATATATGTCTGGTATGAAATTTGTCACTAAATTGTTTAGTGCAGTTGTTGATGTGGCAAATTATATAAATTAAATGATATATGTCTGGTATGAATGACAGATTGTGGCGGCAAAGATGTGGTGATCGTCGGAAAAGGGTAGGAGAAAGAGAGGAAGAGATGAGGAGAGGAGAGAGAAAATATCATCACCTACACATATATTATTTAATTTATATAATTTGCCACATCAGCAACTACAATAAATAATTTAATTACAATTTACCACGTCATTTTAATATTAGTTAATTAACAGTAAAAAAAATCAGGGGTCATTTAGAACTATTTCTTAAATTTTAGGGACCAAAAGTGTTTATTTTAAAATTTCACCAAGTTGACAGCAACTATAAACCTCAAGCACCAAATATGTTCATTTTGAAATTTTAGGAATCAAGTAAACACCTACTTCAAACCTCTGAAACCAAAAGTATTCATTGGTTTCATTTTAAAACTTCATGTACTAGATACCTACCTCAAACATCAAGGATCAAAAATGTATTTTCATCTTTTTAATATTAACATGGAGGGGTAGAAATCAAAAAATGGTAGTTGAATTATACTTAATTGGTGTGGTAGGTTTTTCTAGTTTGAGATTATTATTATTATTATTATTATTATTATTATTTTGGCTAAAAGATAGTGAGTCTAATTGATACTTTACATTACTTCTAATTGCTAAAACATTACGTTTACTTTACATTTTCTAGTTGATACTTCTATACCTAAGTTTTTAAATTTTAATTCATGAATTCTATAAATTAAATTTGTAAATACCACATATATATGTATGCAAAATTATTCTTCACAAATTACTTGCAATTAATACCATAATACATCAATGANAAAAAAAAAAGAAGAAAAAAAAAAGAAAGAAAACCATAATGTTATCTCTCGTCTGAATATTACAATTATGAAGAGAGATTAAAACATAACTATATTACCATCCAAGCACATTTTAAAAAAGAAAATATTAAAATTAATCATTATCAAATAAACCCTTAATTATTCAAATAGATTAAACTTTTTAACTGATTAACCCTGTTTAATTTGAATCGCAGAACCCCAAAATGTAAAAAGATTTAAGAAAAATCCATCAAAGAGAAGAGGGCATTCCATGAACATTTTAAAGCACAACTGCTGCTTACAAACAAATTAAACATGGGCAGCATGCATTCAGATACGTATTCCTCTTATGACACAGTACAGTCATGTAACACGCTTATGATGATAACATTAAACCGATATAAGAACCAGAAAATACTGATGTCGACGTAACGCTTCCTACMTTTTCTTCTAACTGCAGAGATGCAGCTGATTGCCATACCTCCTTCAAATATGCATGCAGGTTACAGGATATGCATGCAGCAAAGCAGAAATCATCTACGTGATGATGAAATGATGACAATTGATCAACACAAACCCAACATGTGCTAGATAAGTGCTAGATCTTATCGAGCTTCTCTGCCTTCACAATGGGGTTGGCTTTGGCAATTGCGTCTTGTGCAGAAGTGCGATAATCAAAGGGGCAATCATGTTTGTCAGAGTAACGATGAATGGCACAGAAGATGTTACCACAACGACAGTCGAACCCCATTAATCCAACTCGCTTGTTGCAACTGTTGCATCGTCTAGGTCCATTCTTTGGCTTTGCTTCACTGCTCCCTGCAGAAACAACCACAGGAGACACATGCATCGGGGTGATCTTTGGTTCAACCAAACTAACTGGCACATCCACACTGGCGGTGGTGACAAAGGATTCCTTTTGGTTAGAACTCGATGATCCATTCATGATACTTCCGAGAGTTGAAGCACTCAGTTTTGCTTGATCTTGCTTCAACATCAAATCCTTGTGGCACTTGGAACACATATTCATAGTAGCCGCACTTCCAAAGAAGCCACAGTTGTTAATGCACAGAAAGGGACCCTCAGGGGGAGCTTGACAGCTTGCCTCATCATGTTCCATGTTTTCAACTCTCCTGCAACACATTCACATGAATCTTTTTCTCTTCTTTTTGAGWGTGAAACAGACTGATACACATGTTAAGAACTACACATCAATTCCATCCAAAAAGCAAATTGCATTATGAATCAGGAAGACATGACCACACTACCAAATTTAAGTTAACAGGTGAAGGTTTCGAAGATCTCAGATTCCATAACCATACCAGGTGTCAATGAACAAAGGATGTTATTCATGAATGTTCTTTAACAAAGAAATTATGCATGTGGATGAGGTACTGCAATTAATTTGGGACATGAAAGGGTTAAGTATGATTCTTAGGCTAGTTCCTAGGTCTCGGAACCCATTAACTACAAGTCTAAAAGTGAAAATATACGAATTATGAATTGAATTAGATATATGAGGAATAAGATTAAGATCATAAAATATATGAGAGAAGTATAGCAAGAACAAGTTGTCATATAAGGTTATTTTTACAGAAGTTGTCATGTACATAGATAGTCATAGATTTCCTACACTGTCAACAGAAACTCAAGATAGCCAGAGAGAACCAAAAGAATCAAAAGATTTAAATTGTTAAAACACCAGAGTGATAAACATATTCCATCATCACGATCTTATAGTTCCCTTCCATGCCCCCAATGAGAAAAATGGCCATAATTCTCCAGTCTTCATATCTCGAACACTAAATTTACCTTTGAACTCAAAACATGTACACTAGCAGGACGCTCGAACCCACTATCGAACCTTCATCAAATTACTCACGGAATCCTAAAACGTGAACTTGTGAAAAACAAATGAATATGACAATTGACAATTGACAAGCCAAGTCCATATGTACAAACTTAACACTTCTAAAAATCATCTCAATAAGAAAGTCTTGAYCAGAACAGCAACTCTCGAAGTCTGTACTAAACAATCAAAATTCCTCCATATTCATTACGACTACTTGCATAATTCTACACATATCTGCATAGTCTGGATGGTCAGAACAACTCAACCCCAACTTCAATCAGGAGAAATATTAACAAACGCATAAAAAAATAAAATAAAATAAAATAAAACACACTTGGAACTTAACATAAAAAGAAGGTAAGTAAAAAATTCCCTCACCCCTTTTGCTGGGACTTTAAAACCCTTAGAGACAAGGGCTTTCAACCGATCTCCAAGATTAAATTCGCGTCCAAGCAAAACCTCTGCGCAATCAAACGAAACATAGCAATTAAGATTCGTGTAAGAACACAAAGTAGAGTAACCCAAATCCTCAGAGATAAAGATCCGTTCGAGAAATCGAAAGAAAACAGAAAGGGGATTGGAAACCCTAACCCTAGCAGATACGGAACGGTCGATGAGGAGAGAGAGGGTGAGTAGAAGCGGAAGAAGAGAGAATTATCATCAATCCCTCATCCCCATTCCCGAAAGCAAAATCAAAAATTTTATCGGCAGGAAGAACTGTGGGTACTGATTGATGGCGACGAGGAGAAAGAACTTTATTAGCTGTGTAATTTCATCAACATTCTCATTCCTCATTTTGTCCCTTTTTAGTTTTTTTAATTACAGATTTGCCAGCCAACCATTAATATTATATCTTCAATTTCCTTTTCCCTAAATTTTTTCTTTTTAAGGAATTTGTAGCTAAAATATTTTCCATATTTGTAAATATAGCAACAATTTTCTAATTTCTAAATATGGTAAAATATTTGATTTTTGGATTTTTGGTTATTTCGATATTATCCTCCTTTGGGTAATTGGGATTTTTGTAACCCTTTCACTAATTAAATTAGATTTTTTTAATCCTTTTTGTAAAAGCTTCTACTTTGACCCCTCAACATATTTTTTTAATCCTTTCACTAATTTTAATTAGATATTTTTATCCTTTTCCTACAAGCTTCTGCTTGATCCCCCGACATATTTTTTTAATCTCTTTTTATCTTTTGCACTTGTACACGTTTGCATTCTTTTTTTTTTTTTCTAACTTCTTATTTTTCTCAATTTTTTTTTCTTTTTTCTCCTTTTGTTTTCAATTTCTTTTCCATTTTGATAAAATCTGTCAAAATTTTAGGAAGGCTATAGGTAGATTAATGTCGACGTTCTTGATTTTTTTTCAATTACAAATTTAATATGGAAAAAATCTATCTTTTCAATTTGATTTTTTTTTCAATTTCAACTTAATAAGGAAAAAATCTAACTTTTTAATTTGAATAATCAATTACGAATTGGAAAAAATTGTCGGACTTGAATTAACAAATAGGACCAAGAATAAATGTCCAAATATTTAAAAACAAAATTGGAATTCCATGCTATCGTTTCGATTTTATACCATCCCAAATCAGGATTGTTCAATCCTAGTATGGGGTTGTGCTATCTTGACCCAGGATAGCACGCAATCCCTTTTTTGTCTTTTTAAATCTGGACATTTATTTTCTCTCATTATTAATTAAATACAGGATATTTATAAACCTTGGCTTGGGATTCATGGAATCTTGACCTTTTTTTTAATTAAATCCGGGCATTTATGTAATCTTGTGTCCTTCGATTTTTCACGTTAAACGATTAAATATTTAATATTTCATCATGTAATTTGAACCACCTTTTTTTATAGATTTTTTCCATATTAGATTTGTAATTAATACTTCAAATTAAAAAGTTGAGATTCTTTTTTTCCTAATTCGTAGTTGATTTTTCAAATTAAATGTTAGATTTTTTAGATTTGTAATTTATTTTTCAAATTAAAAAGGTGATATTTTCTCCCTATTAAATTCAAATTGAGCAGAGGGTGTGAGATTGGTGAATGATACCAAAATTGTGGAGAATTTGTTTTTTAATGTGGATATTTTGATAATTTTATAAAGGCACGAAGTGAAAAATGATTACAAATAAGAGTTTTTAGAAAATAGGTCAAAAATCCAAATGAAATTAAAAAAAAAAGGTAAAAAATCTCAATTTCTTTCCAAATTTTCAGTTGTATCAATAGTATATCGAATCAGGTATATCAAATAAGTTATTTATATAAGGTAACATTATTAATATAGTAGCTGTTATAGAGAACAAAAACGACCCAAAACGAAACAGGAGTTTGAAGCCCGAGATCATCAACTAAGGGAGACCGGCCCATGCCAAAAGACGACCCGGCGTCGAAGCCATCACGAAGCCGACCCCACCTCGGCGTCGAGGTGCTGGCTCCTCACTTTGGCCTTTGGGCCAAGATGCAATTCGACTTCCTTCGCTTGGATCTAACATCAGGAGGTTAAACACACATGTTCGGGGCCGAGCCCAACATCCACCCTCTTCTGTTGATTAACAATCGTTGGGCCTTGAAACTTCGGATTAGGTCTCGACTAACAGCGCAGCCTAACCCTGGAGAAGCAAGTAAGATACTTGAAACTTATTTCTCAAACTCCCTTTTGCTAACTTAGACATCGGAGTCCATGTGACTAAGGTCACACCGGTTTAAATCGGTTTGGTTTTGCAGGTATCAGTTCTCGTATCATCGAGTTAGGTGTGTGCAAGGAGGAAAATCGAAGGATCGAAATCCACACATCGAGTTAGGTGGGGACGATACATCAAAGCAAGCTTAGTCGAAACGAAATCTCGATCCGAGGCGAAATCCCAATCCGAGGCGTGTAGAGTGGAGCAAGATGACATGAATCTTGGGGAGAGCCAGCAATGTTTCGAAAAGAAGAGCCTGAATGAAGCGGCCGACCACTCGGGTGAGGCGAGACCGAGCCCTAATCATTAACTTAATCCGACAACCCTTGACAAGGGAGAATCGACTTCGAGCTCGAATGAAGCGACCGAGCACTCGGGTGAGGCAAGACCGAGCTCTAGTAATCGACTTAATTCGACCACCCTTGACAGGGGAGAACCGGCTAAGGAGGTAGAATCTGTCCCTCTGACAGCCGAAGATCGACGAGTCAACATTAGAACCASATTGGGGAATGATGAAAGAGAAAGCCTTATAAACTTCCTCAGAAGCAACRCTGACGTGTTCACATGGTCACATGAGGACATTCCAGGAGTCGATCAAGGAGTCATGGAACATCGACTCAACGTCGACGAGAGCTGTAAGCCAGTGAAACAGAAGCGTTCAACCAAGAAAGGAATGAGATCGTAGCTGAGCAGGTAGAAGAGCTACTGAAAGCAGGCTTCATTCGGGAAGTACATTATCCCTAGTTGATATCCAACGTAGTATTGGTAAAAAAGCCAAACGACAAATGGAAAATGTGCATCGACCTCACAGACCTAAATAAGGCTTGTCTAAAGGATTCTTTTCCCTCACTGTGAATAGATCAATTGGTTTATGCCACTGCAGGACATGAAAGATTGAGCTTCATGGACACCTACTCCAGATATAATCAAATCAAGATGCATTTACCGGATCAGGAGAAACCCTCMTTTGCCACGAACCGGGGTCTGTATTGCTACACGGTGATGYCATYCGGATTAAAGAATGCAGGTGCGACCTACCAACGAATGGCAAATCGGATGTTTGTAGCCTTAATCGGCAAAAACATGGAAGTTTACGTAGACGATATGCTGGTAAAGAGTCAAAAGAACAAGCGACACGAGGAGGATTTGGCAGAAGCATTTGACGTTTTGCGAAAGTACAAGATGAAGTTGAATCCTACCAAATCCACGTTTGGAGTGACCTCAGGTAAGTTCCTGAGATTTTTAGTACACCAAAGGGGAATCRAAGTCAATCCGGATAAGATCAAAGCTGTTCTGGAGATGGGTCAACCTAGAAATCTAAAGCAACTACAGGGGACTCAACGGAAGGACAACATCACTCAACAGATTCGTTAGCCGTTCAATTGGCAAATCCCTGCCATTCTTCAAAATCCTGAGGAAGAAAGGGCAGTTTGAATGGACAGAAGAGTATGAGGCTGCCTTCTTTTAAGGAGCTAAAGTAATACTTAGGGGCAGCCTCACTCCTCTCAAAGCCGATCGTGGGTGATGGACTCTACTTATGCTTAGCTGTATCTGACACTTCAGTGAGTTCTGCGTTGATAAAAGAAGAAAATGGATGATAGTCTCCAATCTACTACACAAGCAAAGCAATGGTAGATACAGAGCTTAGATACTCGCAAATGGAGAAATTGGCGTTAGTACTGGTCATTTTAGCTCAAAGACTATGTCTGTATTTCCAAGCTCACAGAATAACTGTCTTCACCAACTTTCCCTTACGACAGATTTTGCAAAGGTCAGACACTTCTGGGCGACTGGTAAAGTAAGCTGTGGAGCTCAGCGAGTACGGCATTCACTATAAGCCAAGAACTACCATGAAGGGGCAGGCTGTGGCAGACTTCATAGCAGAATTAATACCAGCAGAACCTCAAGTATATAATATCGACCCACAATTGGTTGAGGAAGAGTAACCYTAGACACTCTACGTAGATGGGTCCTCAAATTTTCGAGGATGTCAGGCTGGACTTCTACTGGTCTCTCTAGATAAAGAGAGATTCGAATATGCACTAYGGTTTAGTTTTCATGCATCTAACAACGAAGYCGAGTATGAAGCTCTGCTAGCAGGACTAAAAGTGGTCAGGTACGTTGGAGTTAGGAACATACTGATACTCAATGATTCATAACTGATTGTAGGTCAGGTGAAAGAGAAGTTTTAGGCTAGAGAACTACGAATGGCGAAATACCTTTCTCAGGTAAAAGACCAGCTCGACCACTTCTCAAAATATGAAATTTGAAAAATTCCACRTACATAAAACGTCAACGCAGATGCGTTAGCTCGACTGGCTGCAGCTTATGAAACCGACCTAGGAAGAATTGTACCGTTCGAGATTCTGCCTAAGCCAAGCATAGAAGCTCAAGAAGCAACGGATATCGACGAACAAGGACAACTAGAAGAAAATTATATGAGCCCTTTGATTAAATATTTGAGAGATAGGGTCCAGTCTACTGAAAAGATGGAGGCCCAGCAACTACAATGACGAGCAACCAGATATGTACTTAAAGGCGACAATCTGTACAAAAGAGGCTACTCGTTGCCACTTCTAAAATGTCTAGCGCCCGACGAAGCTGACTACGTCATGARAGAGATATAAGGGCGTTTGTGGGAACCATTCTGGAGCATGGTCCCTAAGTTACAAAATAGTTCGACAAGGGTACTACTGCCCGACCATACTAAATGACACAAATCAATTCACCAAGAAATGCRACAAATGCCAATGGTTTGMAACAGTACCTAGGCAACGGCTAGAGCCTCTAACAAGCATAATGAATCTTTGGCYCTTTGCTTAGTGGGGAATATACCTTATAGGACCCCTCCCRCTAAGAAAGGGCCAGACCAAATTTGCAGTGGTGGCAATCGACTATTTTACTAAATGGGCCGAAGTCAAMGCCCTAGCTACAATTACTGAGAAACAGGTCACCGACATCTGRAAGAACATAATTTGCCGCTTTGGAATAGCCTACACCATTATCAGTGATAATGGAAAGTAATTCGACAATGCTGCCTTTGGAGAATTTTGCAGGGAGT